GTTAGAAGGAAACAGAGACCTGTTGCTTGGCGAATTCCTCGGCGCCGGAAAACCCCAAATAAGAGTGCGGCGACTTCTCCATCACGAGGCGGGCGAGAGAGATGGGGTTCTTCACTCTTGTCAGCCCCGATACGGCGCCGCATCGCCTGCCGTTCCCGTCCATGATGCTCGCCTCCATTTCCACCGTCCCTTTCTCCGTCAGAGCAGATCCACGGCCGGAGTTGAACAGTGGGTCCGTTTCCAATTCACGCACCTTGTTTTTTGTCAATTACACAAAATGAAACGCACAATTAGTTAGTTACAACAGGAATGCTTATGAATTATAGTCTGCAAATGTGCGTTTTATGCGAGAGTGAAACACATGTTTAAGGCGTATTACTTACGACGAGCTCGACGACATCGAGGGCAGGGAGACCCGACCGGAGGGCGGATATGCCGAGATCGAGGCAACGAGTGAGCAATGCCTTGGCTTCTTGTTGGCGCTCCACGGAAAGATTAGGGTCCACTCCGGCTCCGCCGTGCACGGCAATCGCCCAACCACCCATCTCCGATCAGGCTCAACTCTCCCTCCTCTCCCTCCTCTTCCTCTGCCCCTTTGTCTTTGTTTTTGAGTTTCTGGTTCATTGTTGCCCTTCTAACGCTCACTATAAATACACACATTGGCCACATGTCGCGGGGCGTGTGAACGTGGACCCGCCTTCATAATATTTTGTGTCATGTGTTAGACACGAGACTGACGGTACACAAATTTGTCTGTGCCATGTAAGTTTCAAAAATAATAAACGGGGAACGTTTCAAAAAGTAGAAAGATCTAATAATGATTTTGGTTGGTATATGCATTTTTATACAAAATAATTACATTTTTTGACGAATAGTATATGTACACAGCTAATATACTACGTATAAGAGTGTACAAAAAGTTCTACAATGAGATTTCTATCAAAATAATCCCTCCGCCCCGCTAACAAAGAGACAAGAGAGAATGACACGCAAATCAATAAAAAGTAGTTTATATGGTTAATATTGAATTGATAAAGTTAAAATAAAGTAAGAATGATTTAGAGTCACACAAACTTTGCCAAATTTGGTATGAGACAATCTTAGTGGGACGGACCGATAAGATAAAATGAGACAATCATAGCGGGACGGATGTAGTATTTACCAACTACTTTCTTCACAATGTCAAGTATAAATAATACAATGTCAAGTATAATATCTATATTTAGACATTGTGATTAACATTGTTGAGAAGAAGTGTCTTGAAATTATTATTTTGCGTATATAAAATCGTGCACAACATAACACTAAGGCCTTGTTTGGTTCAAAGGAGAGGCGGGATGGGGAGAGTCAAGGAGGGAAGGGAAGGGAAGGGAAGGGGAAGGGAGGATTTTGATAAAAAATTTGTGTTTGGTTGGAGGAAATAGGAGGAAAGGTTTAATGAAAATATTTTTGCAAATTACTGTTATTTGATAGTTTACTTAAAAAAATAGATACATGTCTAACTATTGTGAATATTACTCATATGGTCATGAGTCATAATTTTATTTTATTTTTGATTTTTTGATTTTTCACTTTTTTCATTTTATAAATTTTTTTAGTATTTTATTATTTATTTTTTATTTTTTGGTTATTTAATTTTTTTAATTTTAAAAATTTTTAATTTTTTAAATTTTATATTTTTTTAAGTTTTTAATTTTTTAATTTTAAAATTTTTAAATCTTTAATTTTTTTGATTTTTAAATTTTTTAGTATTTCAAAACTTTTTGTTTTTTTTACCTTTTTTATATTATAATGTTTTGTCCATTCAAGTAGGATGTGGATAATTTGTGGTTATCAACACGTTTCCTCCGAAATACCCCGATTTGGGTATTTAGAATGGGAGAAAGTGGAGGATTTCGGAAGTCTTCCACTTTCTTCCCCTTCCCCCTATTTCCTTCAACCAAACACAAACAAATTTCTCCCTTCCTTCCCCTCTCCTCCGAAACCCTCCAACCAAACAGGGCCTAAAAATTCTCTTAGTGACTACTCAAGTACTCATCCGCTTTAGAAATAAACTAATGCAGTTTTGTTATTGCCTCATCATTAAATTATTTTCCATAGTCATAACCATGCTACCTTGTTTTGACTTAAAATCATTATTTCCTTCACATCAATGGCTAATAGCCGAATATTACTTCTTAAAATCGATATAGTGGTGATAAAGCAGGATTTGAGAATTATGTATTACCTGAAAGTCTGAAACTGAAATGTACATGAACATAAATGAAAAAACGGTACAATGGTATTTTTATAAATAAAGTGATTTTTGTATTGTTGCGAAATGTGCAATATCTTAACAATAAATGTTCGACTCCATGAATCTAAACGTGCACCGCATCCGTTTCGCATTATTCACATTTTCAAGGGAAGAATCATTGTCACCGAAACAGGACTCTATGTATACATATATATACACACATACATAATGCATATTAAATAAATAAGCTAATTGTCTTAACGTGTAAAATGTGAAATATTCACTTTTGTAGCTCTCGGTGCATTTTTATGTTCACGTAGTGCACTTTTTCAAGTTTATAAAAAAGTTCAATTATTTATAAAATTATCACTACGCTTTTAAAAAAAATACATTTTACTACTGCTTAAAGTGGCTTACCATAAAATTGCATGAGAGATGATTGCGAGTACATTTCGAGCTTTTCACACGTTAAGATTATTTATTATTTGTTCCACATCCCATATTTTTATATGTATGTTCATATATGGTTGAGGTCTGGAAACAAACTTTTTCACGTAAGAAATAAGAACAATCCGAAACGATGCAAATTGTAGTTAATAGAGGTGTACATTTATAGTTGAGATAATGCACGATTCACATGAATACAAAGAGTAACTTGATTTGTCAAATAAGTATTACAGTCAATTCAATAATTATTTTCTCATACGAGTATAAAGGATACTCAAATGCGTAATCATCCTTCTTTTTCTTTTGCTTTCCTTTTCATTCCTTTCTTGTATGGTGAAGTGAGAATCCAATAATAATCCATCACTTCATCCTCTTATTATCTCTTAGGGCCCGTTTGGTTTGGGTAATCTCACATGAAGACCGGAAAGTGATGCATGGAATGTTAGATACCCTTATTTGATTCACGGGTTTAAAGAAAAATCGGGAAAGTTACATTCCCGGGAATGTTAAATGGAGGGGAATGTTAAACCCATCCATGCCTTAGGTTATCTCACATTCCCGGTGTGATCTAATTTTCTTCTGAAAATACCTTCAATTAATTATCGCTTTTCATTTAATTTCTTTATATATTCAACTGTTATCAAATTTATTTTTTTGTGACTTTATAAAACTTTTAAGGTAGTGTCTAAATATGTAAATTTTATTTACTAAAAATAATCTTATTATTGATATAGATCGGTTAGTTTCATGGACAGACAGAGTATTAATTATATTTGAATGTCTATTCTTGTTATTTTCATATTTTTTGCTTTAACATTTAAATTTTTAAGGTATTTATGTTATAAAAGTTAAATGCATAAAAGTAATTCATCATATCTGCAATATAAGATATCATTCAATCAAATAAATTATGACACATTCCCTTGATTTAACCAAACACAAATAAGAATCAATTGAATATATTCCTATCAATATAACATACCCATCAATCTCACATTTTCATGGTAATTTGACATTCTTTGAACCAAACATACCCTTAGTCCTTCCACCCAATCCCAGACATGGACATCACCTTCCTCCTTTCCCTATCCATCCCACTATCGCGGCCCACTACTTCTCTCAGGTCCAACTCGTTTTTTCTCCTATTTTTCTTCCACTTTATTCTTCTTAATTTGTCTTGATTACTCTACTTGGTTGGGTTAATGTCGATCTGAAAACAATTTGATTTAAAGTTTTCTGTTAAGTTTTACTCAAATCCCACAAAGTCGTTTTTAAATAATACGAAGTACTTCGTACTCTGTAGATAATTCTAAGATGTTTTTTTTTCGAATTTTATTTAGGCCAATCTCAAGAGGACAACTTCATTCCTTTTCTGCTGGACTGAATTGACGCATGATTCTGTAGCCAAGTTCTTGGGGGAAAGGTTCAATTAGGAACAAAGCCCTTTTGATCTTCTCCAACTAGCTACATTCCCAAACTTAATTATACCTTTAGCTACTACAATAATACGGAGTAAAGCCACTTCATAAAAAGTGAGGTAATTATGATTAAAAAAAATGAGGTAATTAAACCCGCATGGATAGTTCAGTTGGTCGAGTGGTGAGAGATTTGGAACAATGGACCAAGGTTCGAATCCCCGCAGTGATCGGGTGGAAGTCACAGAACCTGAAATAAGGCTGGGCCTCTGGTGCACACGGGTGTATGGGCCTACTGTCATTCTACTGACTGAGTCACCGTGACTAACCTCCCCACCATCTTGTCAGGTCATAGGTCGACAAAAAGCAGGATTAATTGCATTTCGAAATACGTTCTCTAATTTTGTGGGCCTAAATAAGCAGGAAGACCCGATGATTTTAGTTCACCGAGATAAGGCAGATGATGAGGCTACCTCTTCAATTTCCAAAGATATCCTCAATTTAGATATTATGAGGGCCGACAAGATCCAAGGAAATTTGCTTTTTGATAAAAGCCTCATTCACTCACTCACTCAAGCCTATTCAGACGCCTCAGTCGGTTTTGATCCATCAGATGAATCGTTCTTCTCAGACGACTTTTTAGGGCACGCCACTGAAAGCGATCGTAGAATTCCTATATCCAAGAAGGATGATATTCAAGACTCTAAATTCAATAGAGAAATTTGCTATAAATCTCAGTTCATCATAGAGGACACCAACTTGCCAACTGAGAACTTGAATACACAACTCAAAATATACAAGAAAACTCAGAAGAATAAACGGCGTAATAGCATGAGAACTAAATCACAATCCAAAAAAATTCCATGGACCTAGGTTTTTATTTTTTCTTTTTGTATGTTTTTTTTCGCTTTCTTTCCTGCATTGTACTTCCCCCTTTTATTCAATAAAAGTTCCCCTTTTCATTAAAAAAAGAAAAAAAAAGAAAAACAAAGAAGGAAAAGAAAAAATAAATGGAAATGAGAAGAAATTACATATGAGGAAGCGGTCCAGGCCAGCTGGTCCCGACTCACTCTCTCTTACGGGAGGTCTCCGGTTCGAAACTCAATGGAGTAAATTTCAGCCTAGATTATTCCAGGCTCCCCCAGCCCCCTCCCCCAGACGCCCCCTGGAGGTTGTAAATCACGGTGACTCAATCAGTTCTAATGCTGATACACCTTATACATATGCACAACAGAGGTCCATTCCATGCCAGCACCTACACATGAGCGTTGACATCTACACGGACGTTAGGAGATTCAATCATCTGTTATTGTCCAAACATTCTCACCACTTTAGCAGTTCAGCTGCCCCTAGGGTATAAAATGGGGTTTTCGTGAATATAAAAGTTTAATGCTGGATTGAATATACAACTCCATATGACACATATTTAATCATTAAAGTTTAATTGGGATAAGCGAGTTTGAAAATATCCCGTAAATTTCTAACACTTTTACTGTATTATGTAGCTCCAAATGATTCTATATATTTTCAACCATGCTTGATGTACACACCCTTGTACACACCTTATACACATCATGTCTGTGAAGTTTTTTGTTGTCTGTGAATCCGATTCACAGACAATATTTTGTTTGTGCAAAACATTGTCTATGAATCGATGTTCACAGACAAAAAAAAAACTTTCACAGAAATAGGTACATGTGTACAAAAGTGTGTATAAGAGTGTGTACAAACATCACTTTTGATATATTTTAGTTTAGGATTGGAGTCGTTTGATATCGTACCATTTCTGATGCAGTTCAGATCAGTTTCTCAACATATTATTGACCTTCCAAAACTGGCCGGGTAGTCAGGGGCGGATCCAGGATCGAGAGATGAGGTGGGCTAAGCAAAAGTAATTTTTTTTACTATACATACCAAATTTAGCCCAGGATTGTTATCGAACAAAGATTTTTTTGAATTATATACTCGAGTTCGAGCTTGATTTCGAATCTAATTTAATGACTTGAGTTTAACAAGTTTCGAACTCGAACACGGAGGAGGTTTTGAGTTTGAATAATTATTCAAGCCGAGATCGAACATAGTGATGTTTCGATCCGAACACGAGCCTATCGTTCACATATAAATTATACTATTGTACATATCATAAAATTTAAACGTTTTAGTGCAATTTTTATAAATTTATTAATGATTAATAAAAATTTGAATACTTATTGAATAATTTGAACATGAATCTATTAACGAGAATAGTCTAAACTTCTACATTCGAGCAAGTCTATCGAGCATTGAAATCCAATTTTGAGATAGTTTGGATTTCAGGGACTACAACATGTGGAGGATCCTCATTGACTAGATCTTGCACTATTGTAGGTATAGGTTCAGAACTCCCTTCACCAGTTTGACGATTCACTTTCGAAAAGAATGATGAAATCAACTTCTTTCCCTTCTTGGCAACATGTTCATTATCCATTCTAAAAAACATTTTCAATATTGGTATATATTAAAATGCTTATATATAAAAAATAAACTATTTAATTATGTACTGAAAAATTCAATTAATAATCAAAACGATTGTATGATTCCCTAGCCCTAAAACTCTAAAATGCTAAAAATAAAAATAATTAATACATTAATAGTTTAATACACAATCGGTTAATCACAGTTTACAAATTCACGGCAGAAGTTCATAACTTCACTGATTCACAAATTATTTGTGGGGTGGGTTAACAAATAATTTAGGCTGGGCTGAGATTTGAAAATGTATCAATACTATTAAAAAAATTGGGCTGGGCTGAAGCCCACCCTTGGCCTAGCATACATCCGCCCCTACGGGTAGTTCTAAGTTCTAACTAATACTACGTACTACATGCTAGTATTACTATAATGTATGTTTTCAATGTACATACTCTTTCTTTATGTATCCTACTAGCATGTCAACAAAAGAATACTATGTGCGTTAGCACATCATTTTAGAATTAATAAAATAACATACAACCAAATTTATGCAATACATTAATATACACCAACATAGTGCTATCATTAAAGTAGAAATACTTTTAACTTAATTGATAATCAAAATAAAAGCTAATGGTAGAGTATAGAGAATTAAAATATACTTTCTTTAATAGTTGCAACAGTCTGACTTTGTTTAGTCAATTTGAGTAAATTTTGGATGATTTCAATAATTCTAGTTATTATATATAGTTGTGTGAATTGAAATTTATAGTATGAAAGTAATTTTAACATTGAAACATTTGTTTTGAAAGTAAATTTTGTGTAGATTGATAGAGTACATAATTACATTAAAATATTTATAGTCATGCGTCAGATAAGTATAATTATTTTGTTTACTATCTTTGTTTGTACTCCCTCCGTCCCTAAAAGAACTTCCAATGTTTCCTTTTCGTTCGTTTTGAAAACTGTTGGAAAAATGTGTTAAAAATTGCATTAAATGGTCATTTTGGGGCAATTATTTGAGTGGGGTTCACTTCCGATTTGGGTCGGGTCAAAGTGGTTTCGGATTGTCCTTGTTAAGGGCTACAATTCGATATGTGGTACACTCAAAACGGATAACGGGTGAATGAGAAATTGATTCTCGATGTTCACTCGTTGAAATGGAAAAACTGGGAAAATAATGGGTTTCTAGTGTGTTTTATCCCACACCGGAAAACTCAAGGGATTTTCACCCCCTTATAAAGGGAGCCTCTTTTAAGGAGTTAAGATTCCTAAAGGTAAAGGCTCTCTCTTACGCGCAGGGGGTGCCGATCAAATCCCGAAACGGAAAAGAAAAACCGTGATTCGTGTACCAGAGACGCTCCAACTCTTGTGGGGGTGCTCTTCTAGCTTCGCATCAGAGTTACAGCCATTAAAGGCCCAACGTTTTAGTCTTTTAATGCAGCGTTAAATGGACAGTTTATGGATGATTCAATGCCCAACGGACTGGTCATTGATGTCCAACGTTCAGGTCCATTAACACCCCATTTAACACACAACAAATCCTCCTATAAATAGCTAGCAGGTGGTTTGCAACAAATACACGTTCACAAGCAATCATACACGTATTTTAGCTCTCAAAAACACCTTCAGCTCTCTGAAAATTTCCCAAGTGTTCTGCTATTGTTCCAGTTCGCCGGGACTTTCGTTTGTGTGCTCAAACGAACGTTCGTTAGCCACCATATCCTGGGAAACGGTCGTTGCAACGCTCCTAGCACCGTGGGAGGCGACGAATACGTTTTAAGGACATCGTGCGTAGCACGAGCTCTGGCTAAAATCTGCTCCATCTTATTTCTATTTTTCTTTAGCTATTTTATTAATTAATTAATTATTTTTATTAATTAATAGTTCTTCGTTTTTCCGAAACACACCCAACAAAAACAACTTAACTTTCCCTTTTTGGCAAAGAATTTGTGGTTCACAGCAATTCTTACACATTCTTACACATTTCTCTTTTCTCTGCACAACTCTCCACCACACAATTCTCACTTTCTTATTCTGTGTGTCATTTGTACTACGGAAGAACATTTAGGGACAGAGGGAGAATAACTTTTGTAGTGCTCTTTAGACTTGATGTACACACCTTATACACACTATATTTGTGAAACTTTTTTTTGTCTGTGAATCCAGTTCAAAGACAATATTTTGTTTGTGCAAAACATTGTCTATGAGTCGATGATCACAGACAAAAAAAATGTTTCACACACATATATGGGTACAAAAGTGTGTATAGCAATGTGTAGAAAAGACTTTTTTGGGGCTTCAAACTGTCTGCGGCCGCCAAGAAAGTGTATAACTGCTCTAATGTTCTATGCCTCTCCTGACTCATCCCATTATTCAATTCGAGGATCTTCAACACAAGTGTAACTGACTCGATACTCGTAATAATGCTTTCCATGAAGGTGATACTGTACTCTAGCATTACTAAAGTATAAAGGTTTAATAATGTGTGGTTGGTGAGAGTATAAAGGTATACGATTCCCTAGACAAAAAGGGGGGTCGGGATTCGAATCTCTAAAGGCATCGCAAAACTGAGTATCCAAGGAAAATTGTACTTCTTCCGTTTCATTGGACTTTGTCAACTTTTCTTTTTTGGTTGTCTCAAGAAACTTTATCACTTTCCTATTAAAGCAACTAATTTGTGGTTTTGCACATCTCTCTCTTCCGCACAAATCGCAATTACACAGTTTTTACTATTCCTATTTCTCACTTACTTTGCATTTGGCAAAGTCCACCGGGACGGAAGTAGTATAAAATTACAAACTACCCCATTTTGTACCCCAATTTGTACCCCAGACTATATTTGTGGCTCACAAAAGCCCACTTCAATAAATGAATTGCTCCACTTTAATGAGTTGCTTTTGTGAACCACAAAAATAGGGTGAGATACAAATTGTGATACAAATTGGGGTACCTTTAACATTTTTGATAGAATTATTACTTCTATTTTTATGTACAAACAATCTATTTATACACTATTTTATTTACTTTTTGTATATTCATTTAATTTACGCAAATAGACCATTTGTTTAATTGTTTTAATACATATAGACAAACATAGAAAAAGTGTACACCAAACACAGTGTTGGCCCTAGAGAGAGCAGGGGATTGCCCTAGGCCTGAAAATATAGAAGAGAAAATTAGAACCAGATTTTTTCCTTATATATATAATGTCAGTAGGCTTTTTTTTTAATTTCCTTGATATATATTGATAATTTGAAAATGTCAAAGCATAAGTACACAGACCTACAATACATGGGATTAATGTGTTCTCAAATACTACTGCTATTGAAAAGGGATGATCATTTTTATTTAACTTTATCAATTCAATATCAATCACATGAACCTATTTTTTTAAATAACTGTGTTACTTTCTTTTGTCCCAAGGTTAATATAACGGATATAGTATTACAACAAGATCACACACCATTTCTAAGTATTTTCGAGAATCGATTATACACTTGAGTTTCGATCACACTCTAATACTTCCTCCGTCCCTAATAACTTTGTAGAGTTTGACCGGCACGATTATTAATAAAGTAAAAACTGTGTGGTTGAGATTTGTGCAGAGGAGAGAGAATTAACTGAAATCACAAATTCTTTACTTAAAAGAGAAAGTGACGAAGTTAATAACACATCCAAAAAAGGAAAGTTGGTAAAGTTATAAGGGATGGATGGAGTATGTAAATAGGGTGGGGCAAGCAGAGTGAATTGACTATTGAGCACATGCACATATAAGGGGATGTTTGGATCTGATTCTTAAAACTGCTTCTTCTCCTTCAGGG